TACACAGGGCGACGAAGCACTGCCTGCCGACGACACGGCAGCTGTTTGGCAAGGAGTTCGAGCAGTGGTCCACGGACCCTGCTCACAGTCCTCTCCTCTTGGCCTGGCTTGCACATCCCGTTTTAAATTCAACGGCAATGCAGCTGTACGTTGGTTCCAATCACAAGCTAACTTTGCTGCGCAGGTCACTTTTAGTTTCTGATCACACCTCCTTCCATAGCCCTTTCTTCACAGGGCTCGAGACCTGAACGTGGTGCCGTTTTTGAGCGTAATGACTCACGTGTTCGCTCGCAACGACGTATGCTAAACCTCTTCCTCAGTCCTGCTAGCTTTGTGTACTAATCCTTCTCCTGCGCAATCTTGCTATGCAGCCACACGTTGCTGGCTACAAAAGTGTCATCTGCGGCGAAATAAGTGCTGCCTTGACGTGCTTCGATATTGGCGCCGTAGGGGAGTTTGATCACCTGCTTCAGCTCTACCACGACATCTTCTTCAACGAAACCGCTATCACCCTGTGCGTCCTTCCGACTACCGTCGCCGTCGCGGCTCTGTGACTCATTTGACTTTGCCGCGGCCCTTTTTGAACTAATGATTCATTCCCTGCACCAGCCCTTACTTGAAGGCCAACTTCACAAAGAAGTGCAACGCTCTCTACCACATCTCGCGATCAAGCTTCCCTCACGAGTTCGATCCCTTCGTTCGACTGAGCCAAACATTTGCTGCGGACTCCATCTGCGCCGAGTTCATGTTCCGCCAGATCTTGGAACTGAAGCACTTCACCGTGTCTCGGTTCGTTACCTCATCATTGATAAGCAACCCTTCTCCTCGCGTGCGTGCGCTGACTTTCGGAAAACAGAAACGAACTACCGACCAATCTGGAGTTGGCTACTGCCCCGCCCTCTTCCGTAATGACGATGCAGGCTATTAGCCTTCCGGGTGTTGTCATCCCTGCCAATTGCAGAGGCCTCGTACACCGTGTTGATAGCGATGAGTTCATACAGTGGAACATTGTACGTATTTGCACCTGCACCGTTCCGACAAGGATGAACCTTGACTCATACTCCACTTCGTATCCTCCAAGGGCAACTATTCTGGGTGGACCTACTTCATGGGCAAGATCTACGTACTAGCCACCAAGCTCTCCAATCGACAGCCCACATCGGCATCGGAGATCGTTCAGGTGACGCTGATCCTGCGGCTTATGAACCAGCTGTTCGCCAAGAAGGACGACCTGATCAAATACCTAAACGATCACCTCAAAGGCACCATGGGACGGTATGCACACGCACGCACGCGCGCGCCACACCAACCGCATGGACTCATCAAGTGCCTTGCTACGGGAAACAGGAACACCAACCTGCTGCGTCAGCTCTTCACCCTACTGCGGACGTCCTCGAACCTTGCTTCTTCCTCGCCCGCGTTGCTGGAAATGTTGGATGCATGCGTGCGGTGCATCAACCACTTCGCCACCAGCCACCCGCTTCAGGTGTGGGAGGAAATGCGACGCGGAGGAGTGCTGCAAGAGGTGCGATAATCTGTCATTAGTTCCAGTTCCACAATGTCATCAGACTGACCAATGCCGGTGAGCCAGATGTCGTCCTCTATCAAGGGCAAGCCCGACGGTGACATCAGGCAGATTCTGATGCTGGAGCAGAGGAACGGCCTCTACCCAATTACGATATCCTTCCTCAACCTTCTCTATACGCTGCTCAGTTATGCGCGCAAGTGGCAGCTCCCAGGTACTCCTGTTCAACTAGATACTTGAGCGAACGAAAAGTAACTAACCTTCTATCATGAAGAAACGCAAACAAACACCATGCAAGACGAAGGGGACATGGACTCGGTATCCTTGGAGGATTTCCACCCGTGCTTGTCCTTCGTCAAGGCTGACCTGTTCGCGCGCTACGAGTCCTGGCGCTACCAGAAGCCGCAACAAAAGCACAAAATCGGAATCAAGGTACTTGTTCTCAATGCTCTACTGCTGCGATGAGAGTATCTTACCGTGGTATGGTCCTATGCTCTGCTACAGATCATGAACATATTTATTGATATCCTCAGCGAAGACACCGTCAAGAACTTGACCGGGCAGACCCTGCCAATGGCAAAGACGGATATGGACCTGTCCTTGGCGTCCCCCATGGCCAAGTATCAGCCGATGACTCCTCTAGGTACCTTCAACAACCCATTTCTTTCGCGAGCGCTGTATCTTACCGGTCTGCAGGCACTCCGT